ATTATTATTATTATTATTATTATTATTTTAATCTTCCGGGTGGTGGGGGAGCCTAACAACTTGCACCAAGCGAATGAGGCTTTTTTATGCTGGCAACAGGGGTGAAAATGCAGGAAATAGGACACACACCGAGAGGTTGTGCTTTTAACACAAAAGTTGATAGGAGCCCCTCGGCTTTCCTCGGGGTGAGTTGCATCTCGGCCCGGGATGGAAGAATCATTCCTTTTGATATCGGGATAAGATTCAGCTCTTCCACCTGCATTTAAAAGACAAAAGCTGCTCTTTTGAAGACAGCATAGTCGACATTTTGGACAGAGAGGGGCTCTGGTTTTAAAGGATGGTGGGGAATGGAAGGATTTATACTCCTTGCAGACAAAGCTGGTGATTTGCATCCTTTTAGAGAGTCGTTGAGGCCGCTTGGAGGTCCATCTGTGTCCTCAGGGTCACCTGAGTGGTGCAAATGGGGTGCGGAGCCTTCTTGGGACTGATCGAAAGGACTGTGTTGCAAGGAATATAAATCCTTCCATTCACCACCACCCAGTCAGAGCAGAAGAAGCCTCTTGAAAAAGCACCTTTGGGACAGCCATGACCTGGATGGCAGAGAATCTCCACCAACATTAAGAAGAGACTGGACAGCCACTTGTCTAGGGTCTCCTGCCAGAGCAGGGGGTTGGACTGGATGGCCTCCAAGGTCCCTCCCAGCTCTATTTCCATGTATATTTTGCAAGTCCTTCTGGCCAGGAAGGGCTGTTTGGAAGCTGCAGGGGAGCTGAAGGGAAGGGCGACGTCTCCACCTAGTGCACAATGTGAGGATTGCAACTCCCGGAGTCCTTCGGGATTGGGCGGCCTATAAATTCATTAAATCTAATCTAAATCTTTTGCAGATTAACTCAGCCAGCTCTCTCCCTCTCGTGCAAGGGTCCCTTCCGTGAATTGGGTCGAGATGGGTTTTTTACTCCCCTATAAACTGTCTGGAATTGGGTGGAAGTCATTTATATTTTTATTTCAATCTGTATTTTTTTTGTTTTATTCAGAAGCTTGAAATGTAAAATTCCAGAAAAAGTAAACAAGAAAAAAAAAAAGAACTAGACAAGGACGTTAAAAAAAGATGTGAATTAGAAACTCCTCAAATTATAACAAGTCCTCAAATTACAACCATTAATTTAGTGACTGTTTGAAGTTACAACAGCACAGAAAAAAGGGACTTAGGACCGTTTTTCACACTTAACGACCGTTTGCCCCCATCCCCATGGTTAAAATTTAGATGCTTGTCAACTGGCTCGTATTTATGACGGTTGCGGGGTGCCAGCGTCATGCAATCCCCTTTTACAAACTTCCAACAAGCAAAATCAATGAAGAAACCAGATTCATTTAAAGACCGTGTGCCTAATTTAACAGCTATAGTGATTCACTTAACAATTGTGAGGGGGAAAGGCTGTAAAACGCGGTAAAACGCAGAAGAAATATTTCACTTAGCAACAGGAATTTTGGGCTCAATTGTCGTAAGCCGAGGACTTACCAGTAGGGTTGGTGACAAAGCAAGGATGGGGAGTCCTCAACTTACGACAGCCATTGGGACCAGATTGTCCGTCCCTAAGTAATGCGGTTCTAAAGCGCAACTGCATTGTTTAGTGACTGAAATCCCTGCAGTTTCAGTTGCCGGCATTAATTGAATCCCACAACTGAGTCATTGGGGAAGCCAGTGGGAAGCTGCAAGTCCAACTCCAACTGGGCAGAATTGCTTCGAATGCAGCAGTGCTGCTTCGTTGGTAGAGGGGGCCTGTTTCTCTTTCATAATCGTCTTTCTTTTCTTCCTTCTCTTTTTAGGGAGCTGAAGTTGCGGAATTACATCCCGGAAGATGTGGAGCTGAAGGAAAGGGTGGTGCCCAATGCCAAGCCAGCTTCAGGTAGCTCAGTAGGAGGGGACCGGTCAGTCTGCCTTGTCCAGGCCAGTCCGGAAATAGCCCACCAGGAAGCTAGCAAAGAGGGCACTATGTCATCTCTTTGTCCTTCTCTTTCTTTTTCTCCTCCTCCTTTTCTCCTTGTCTATCTTCTCCTTCTCTTCCTCCATCTCCCTTCCTATCCTCTTCCTCCTATATCCTCTTCTCTTGTTTATCTTCTCCTTTTGCGTTTTTTATTTCTCCTTCTCAGCCTCCTTCTCCTTTTTCATCTCCGCCATTCTCCTTTCCTCCCTTTCTCATCCATATCCTCCCCTTCTCCCTCCCTCCCTCCCTCCCTCCCTCCTCCTCTCCCACCCTCCCTTTCCTTACCAGAAAAAAAATGGATGCCCTCTTTTCAGTCTTAAGGCCAAGGTAGTTGACACCTGCGAGGCCTCTCTTATTTCTATCACTTATTCTAGCTTTAGTCCTGTCATCCTTATTAAAAGGCTTTTTTCTTTCTATCCTATCTAATTTCTAATCATGTCACCCACTCAAAAAAGAAAAGAGACAGACAGAGAGAGAAGAAAATATTCAGAACAGCAACCAAAAAGGAATTATCTATCCACCATCTCTTGCCCGCTTCAGTACTTTAATTGCTATGCTTCTTTAAACTTGCCTCTCAAATTCCTCTCTTGGTTCTTTATTTCGGTCAGAATCTGGTTTTTTTTTGGCTATTCAATCTAAGCATTTCTCCCACCTCTACCCCTCTTCCACTCTCTAGTTCTCAAATGTTCTGCCCAGGTCCCTCTCTCCCTTTCAAAGATATCTTCCAACTCTCTTAATACATTTCCTCCCCCTGGTTTAATTCATTAATCACTGTTATTTCCATTGCTGTGTCTCCTCTTTTCCTTCTTCCTTTGTTTCTTCTTCAGGCTCCTCCTGATCTTTACTCATCATCCCTCAGATGGCATTTTCCATTTTCTCCCCATCATCTCCTTAAAAAATTTTCTCCACGGTATCTTTTGTGCTTTGAAAGAGCAATGCCATCTCTTTCAAAATTCCACCCGTTTCTGCCTTGTAAGGCATCTTGTTTTATTTTTTAAAAAAAAATTCAAGTTTTACTCCAGCAGTCCAAGAACTATTTATTCAGTCCTTAAGCTGCCCTTCAAGGAGTGCACTAGTCTCAGTTCTTTTGTATCCCATGGAGAAACCGTCATTTCCATTTGAATAAACCCAGAAGTTATCCAAAGCCTCTTTTCATCCCCTTTACAAGTTCAACCTTCTAACATTCCTTTCAGGGGTCTTTATCTGGCTCTCCAGTAGTCGTAGGATAGTTAAAAATAATCCGATGGATATTTTCACAATTCTTCCCTTAGGTCTTCCCAGGTTGTAAGTTTCCCTTTCGTCAGCAGTTGGCACTCTTAGCTTAGGTTTCGGTATTGCCACTAATCAAGCGTTCCTTTGGTTATAGAACGATTGTGAAAGCAGAATGAGTTTTATAAGTAGATGGTTCCAGCATTTTAAAATGCCTTCCTAGTACCACTTCTTCCAATTTTAGAGTCCAATTTTTCTGCGTCTTTCAAAATTTATTATTTTTCTCTCCCACGTCCCTCACTTCCGGTGTGATTAAATTCTCAGAATGCTCGGAAGCTCCTTTCACAGATAGTTCTCAGCAAATAGTTGTAAATTGGAGTTAAATTTAAAGAAAGTCCTCTCTCCCAGATCCAGCCACTGTTCACTGCTTTGCTCCAGCATTAGTCTTAGATGGTCATCGGTTGTCACAGCTTTGTGGTAGCCATCTTTAGCTGCCTCTTCTTCTTGCCGTGGCTGAGAGGGAAAGTGAACCCCGGGGTTCCAGGAGAGCTGAGACTCTCCTCGACCTCACAGGGTGCCCCTCTTTGCTTCACCACCCCTCCAGAGTGGCTTTGGTCCCTCACGGAGCCCACAAACGGGAAGGATTCAGCACAGGTGACGGAGCCACGTTCTCCTGTGTCTGAAAGGCGCCGCAACGTCAACCGGGAGTCCCAGGAGATGGCCGCCTTGATTCAGGTAGGTCTCTAGGGGAACAAGCCTGATTGGGCCTTCCATTGGGGAGGTCCTCTTGGCACCCCAAATGGACAAGGGGTGTCTAGCGCTGTCATCCCCCTTCCTTCCCCATCCCTCACGACGGTTTCTCCCTCTCTCTAGTGGAAGACAAAGTGAAGGAACAGCTGGAGGCAGCTAAACCGGAACTGATCATCGAAGAAGTGGTAAGGACAGTAATGTCATTTTACTGAAAAGCGGCTCTTAGAAAGGAGAGGGGGGCTTTCCCCGTTAACCTCTCCCCCCCCTTTTTTTTCGTTTCTTACAGGACCTGGCAAATCTTGCCCCAAGGAAGCCTGACTGGTGAGTAGGAGCGTTTATCTCCATGAGAGCAGAGGCAAAAGTTGCTTTTTGAAACCTTCCCAATCAGGGACGTGCAGTCGGAAGAGGCAGGGCCTCACCACTGTCATCATGAAAAAGAAAAAAAAAATTAAAAGGAAAAAGGCGGAGGTAGTTGCTGCCAGAGTCACAGTGGATGACTCTGCTTAGTGCTTAACTGNTCCACAAGTCTTAAAGTTGCCAAGTTTGGGAACCACTGTCTTAAAGTATACTCACTCCCCTAGATGAGAAAGACTACAGAAAATCCTCAGATTCTGACCACAAGTAAGTTGTTTTTCAGGGCTACGACCTTTTTTTGCCACAGTTGTTGAGCAAATCACTGCAGTTTTTAAGTTAAAACAGCCTGATATCTTTTAATGTGTTCACTGGTGGAGTTCCTGTTTTTAGGGGATATAAAGTTAAAATGTTAAGTTGAAATAAAAGAGCCAGTTTGGCATAGAGGTTAAGTTGCTGGCTTAGAAACCAGAAGACGGTGAGTTCTAGTCCCACCTTAGGAACGAGAGCTGGGTGACTTTGGGCCAATCACCAGGAGATGGTGAGTTCTAGTCCTGCCTTAGGAATGAAAGCCAGTTTGGGCCAATCATCAGGAGACAGTGAGTTCTAGTCCTGCCTTAGCCATTAAAACTGTCTGGGTGACTTTAGGCCAGTACCTCTCTCTTAACCCAGCTCACCTCACAGCGTTGTTGTTTGGGGAAATAGGAGGAAGGAATATTAGCAAGAGCAATGGTGCTTAGACTTATATACCGCTTCACAATGCTTTTACAACCCTCTCTAAGCTGTTTACAGAGGCAGCCTCTTGGCCCCAACAATCTGGCTCCTCATTTTATCCATCTCAGAAGGATGAGTCAACCTTGAGCTGGTCAGGATCAAACTGCTGGCAGTGGGCAGAATTAGCCTGCAATACTGCATTCTAACCACTGGGAGGGAAGGAAGGAATAGCCCTTATATGCCGCTTTACAATCCTTTCCAGCCCTCTCTAAGCAGTTTACAGAATCAGCACATTTGCCCCCAACAGCCTGGATCCTCATTTTACCCACCTTGGAAGGACGGAAGGCTGAGTCAACCTTGGGCCTGTCAGGATCGAACTGCTGACAGTGGGAAGAGTTTGCCTGCAATACTGCATTATAACCACTGCACCACCACGGCTCTTAGCTCCCATTACCTACCTTCACTGCCTTGAATTCTTTATAAAGTAATATAAAGAGAAAAGTCTTACAAATAATAATATGGTGAAATGTCCTATTGCTGACTATTTTTTTTTTGTTTAGCAGTGTTAACTAATACGGCCAACCTCATTTTAATTGTTTCAAAGAAATGAAAACAGCAACTTTTACTGTTTCTTTGGCATCGACCGAATTTTTAAAAAAACTGATTGTTATCCTATCCGAACTGTTCCTAGCTGAGTCTTCTTTCTCCTGGCCCCGGGCTTGAGCCTCTTCAAATCCCGATTCTAAACGGAGATAATTTTTATTTTTAGTTCTGTTTCTGTTTGTTGCTATTGGCCGCTTCACGTTTTTCTTAATTTGGTGGTGGTGGTGGTGGGGAGGTGAATAACCGTTTGGCATAACGTTCGCTCCAGACTCTGCTTAGCTGTTCCACATTCCTCATCTTTCAAGGGCTATTCAGGCCTCTGTTTATCAACCTTCCAAGCTCTTTAAAAAAAATAATAATAAGAAAAATAAGTCCCATGCTTGCAATCTGGAGAACATTCCAGCCTTAGTCTCTCTTAGTCTCCAGATAAGGGGGAAAAAACGAAGGACCAGAATTGTTCTAATTTTTCTAATTTCCTCAGCAAACTGCCTTTGTGTGTAGGCCGTCCCATTGCCTTAAATGCTGTGAGTCTCGATGTAGAGGCGCTGGGAGAAGTGCAAAGAAGAGCAGCTAAGACGATTAAAAGCCTTGGAGGCCAATGTTCCCCCTAAAACTGCGCGCCTGCGCGGCCGCGCACCTAACGAGAAAACACCGCGCAGAAGTTTCAAACTGCAGCGCAGTTTTTCTTTAAATGTGACTGAAAATATCCCCCCCCTCCCTCCCTTCTCTCTCTGCACTGAACTCTCTCCTCCATCTGGTGATTGGTGGAATCAAGGAAGACTCTTCCCGGAGACAAATGATGCTGCAGAAGGGAGAATTCCCATTGGTCCTAGGGAGCTTCGTTGGTTCCTGGGAAAACGGGATTCATTAGTTGTAGCCTGCGTTTCTCTGCGCATCCGGGGTTTCTCAGGCATTGCGTTGTCTGAAGCCCCGTTCTGGACTGGGCGCTCTTTCTGCGATCCCTTCGCTTTGCGGAGAGAGGGAAGACGCGTGGAATTGGACTGCCTGAGCCAAAGGGATCCACGGGATCTTGAGACTTGATTTTTGAGCAGTACCAATCCTTTCCACTCTTTCCTTTCCCTTTCTGTCCTTCTTCTATCTTCCTTTCTCTTTTCCTTTCTTTTCCTTTTCCATTTCCTTTCCTTTCTCCTTTCCTTTCTCCTTTCCTTTTTCCTTTCGTTTTCTTTTTCCTTTCCTTCCTCCTTTCCTTCCTCCTTTCCTTTCTCTTTTCCTTTCCTTTTCCTTTCCTCCTTTTCCATTTCCTTTCCTTTTTCCTTTCCATTTCCTTTCTCTTTTCCTTTCTCTTTTCCTTTCTCTTTTCCTTTCTTTCTTTTCCATTTCCTTTCCTTTCTCCCTTCCTTTCTCCTTTCCTTTTTCCTTTCGTTTTCTTTTTCCTTTCCTTCCTCCTTTCCTTCCTCCTTTCCTTTCTCTTTTCCTTTCCCTTTTCCTTTTCCTTTTCCTTTCCTTTCTCCTTTCCTTTCTCTTTTCCTTTCCCT